TACGTAGTTAAGTACAGACTAACGTAACATTAACGTGGAATTAATATGGATTCTCCATATCGTTTGTACTGTAGAATTCACCAAACCAAATTCGCGGCATACATCAGCTTTTTTCCTTCCATTTTCTATTTCACGAATCACTTTAATTTCTCTTCAATGCTTAAAACTTTCATTGCCATGTTTTCGCTACTGCACTTCTCTGGGTTTAGGCAGGAACACTATAGGGTAAGTAGACAATGTGAGGTCCTGTTAGACGAGATTCTAGGAAAGGAATGCAGTTAACAACCTGCCGCATCCCTCTGCACTATTCATGCAGTCCCACCCCACACCCTTGTTTTCACATAAAACCGACACTCCTCTTGCAGCCCGCGGTCGTATTCCTCCAGGACAGTCACGTCAGCAAGTAGAGAAAGTGAGGGTGGGCAGACACATCGAACTTTCCCACGATATCAGAGAAATTCAGGAATGAAAATGACGTTACATACAAGGTTGATGCATTTGTGCATGTCGTACTAAGCAAGGTATAAAAACAGTTGCTTTATGAGGAATTAGTTCATACCATTGAATATTTGACGCAATAGACAAGGTGTCGCAGAAAGCGATGTTGCTATAACCAAGTTTTACTGTATACAGTAATCATATGCATGCTTACAGATTCTGAAACAATTTAATTTACATTCTCTGTATGGAACCAATTTGGGGGAACAACAAAGAAGTTACCGAGCCTTCAAGTACACTTCAAGCGAACGTGAAAACCTTGTTTTCCGTTAACAATTCTGACTGTAATGTGAATACAAGATATTTTACTTCAGCTATTGGACAGAAGAGTTGTGGGATGACCACAAACTTACTCTCATTGGCCCTCTCAAGGAAAATAAAAGATATTAATCATGAACTGGAAAAATTTGCAAAGACAGACTTGTATTCCATAAAATTTGCAATCACTGATTTACATTCTAAAACTTCCCATAACAATCACTTTTACATTTCATTTGCCAAACCAAAGGAATTGTTTCTGATGTTATCAAGTCAGCATTTTGAGGCATATATTGGGCTGCCATCAGCTTCTAAAAAAGAACAGCCATAAATGAATACTGTTATCAGGCAAAAGGTTGCACCAACACTATAGACGAGATGGTAAGGAAATATTAAAGGAGAAAGGGAATTCAAAGAGGGCCACTGTGTGGTCCTCACATTCTTCTCGATATAGCACTAAAGGTCTTAATCTGTCTCCCAGATTGAAGTGAGGAGCCTAATCAGCAACGATTTTACTTGAAGGACCTGGCCTACAATTCATATAGCTGTGCACTGAAGAATGAGCCTATAAAATTGCAAGGCTGTAAGAGTCAGTAGTTTTAGTTACGGGAGGTATTTTAAAATGTAAAAAATTCAACCAGATGTTTGAGGCCTAGATTGCACATGTCAGGAAGGGATGGTGCAGCTTGTCTGGCACCTATAAAGGATATTGTAGTGTGCAGAGTCGTCATTATGCAACGCCCGCAAGATAAGCAAATATACCAGAGGTGTTTCTAGGCAACAGCTCACTAAACACGATCCTGCAGCAATAGACATGAACACAATGGTACAACAGTGGAATGGTGTCTTTCTGTGATCCATGCAGCAGCCATTGCAACAGAATGGCACAGTGAACACATCTGTGGCAACAAATCCAGGCATAATACGAGTAGAAAAGCCTTGTTTTCTGTGTGGTTTGTGCCAAGGGGTTATAAACAAGACAAGTTTTAGAGCTTAGTCAATACAGCGCAAAAGGAAGAATTTTCAATAATGTGCTATATGTGTGATACGTACATGTGATGTCATAAGATACAAACCCATATTCTTGTCACAGAGGATGTTACATAAGGACTTTGACCGCAAGGTTTCAGTTGAAAAAAAAACTCTGGTCACGAGTCTGAAGCGGCTTGGCACCAACTTGAACTGATTGGTGGTAAACCTCTGGTCATAAAGTGACTCTGACTTCTACTTGAGCTTAGTCAGTTCATAGTCAGGAGGTGAAGAAAAGACCTGGAGGCTGGTGTGAAATGGCCACGAGTTAGTTGCAAGAGTGCTCAGCTGAAAGTCCAGCTGTGTGTAATTTAGTGAGATTTATAGTTCCCTTGTTAAAATCTGTTGTCAGGAAATGGCTAGTGGAGATGGTAATACAATGAGGACACTAGTCTGTACGTATCAGCGATCTGTAAAGTGTAGTCATGAGTGTATAAGCAGTCAATAAATTGAGTCACCAATCCAAACTCCATCTATAGTCACTCATACACATGGCAAGCACAGCAATAAAACAGTCACTTGCAAAAAATTTAATGAAAGGTGTAAAGAAAGTCATGTGTGATTTTTCTCTTCACATATTAAACATGATGTTCTATTTAGCAGTCTAACAGTTCTTTTATTTTTAGTATTTTCTCCTGAATATCTAAATTCACACTTTCTTGAACAATTTATGAAGACTGTAACAAAAAACTAAATTTTATGTGATGGCAACAATATTTCTACCCTTTGTCAATCCATGAAAAGAAAGCATAAGATTTTTACTGAAATGAAGCAAAATTCCTTAACTATAGTACACAATAATACTAATTAAAAATTTCATCAGGCACAAGCAAAATATGTGCATCGCACGAGACCGTGGCAAAACAGAGAAAACTGTTTCAAAATGACGAACTACTGAGATGAATGAAAATATCCTCTGTGCATTTGTACTCTTAGTGATTCAGGCAAGATCTGCAGCACTGAATGTAAGTGCTTATGGATGTGAATGGATTATATAAACATACATGTAACTGACAAGTGACTGTCATGAAGTTTATTAGGAGAATTTAAAGAAAATCTTGAAACACATCTATTACTTCCATCTGTCCATCTGGGATTAAATCAAATTTAGTATGATACAGCTTCTTCTACATCATGTTCTGTTATGTTATTCAGGTTTTTAAGATTTGAGCTTTCCACAGCAGTGACTATGAAGAAAGCCATCTTCTGGGATGTGGTGCCGCGTAGATATTGTGTTAACCGACGCTTTGGAGGAATGTATCGCCTCCATCTTCAGGGTACAATAAAAAAGAAAATCCATGAGCAAGGAACCAGCATGAGCAGGTGCTGACAGACTAATGTCGAGTCGAATAAACACAGCTGTATATAAGAACAGGTAGAGAAGGGAGAGGGGTTACATGGGAAATCAGTAGAGAGGAGAGGGGAAGGGTCTGGGGAAGTGGGCCAGCAGGTATACAATATTGTGCCGGGGGAGGAGAAGGAGAGGTTAATTGGAGGGCATTAACCAGGAAGCTTTGGGGCTACGATGCGAGTCGGGCATGGACCTCCTTGTGGACAAGATGCCAGATTTGACTCAACATTAGTCTGTCAGCACTTGCTCATGCTGGTTCCTCGCTCACATATCTTCTTTTTTCTTCTACCCTGAAGATGGAGGCGATACGTTCCTCTGAAACATCGGCTAACACAATATCTACATGGCGCCACATCCCAGATGGGGCTTTCTTCTTATTCTGGTTTGATTCATTCTAAGATTATAATAATTTTTACAAGTATATTTTGATGAAAGATCTGATTATGCCTACCAAATAATGCTTAAATTATAATATAATTATATGCATAGGAGTAATTTACTTTAATTTAAGAACCTACATACATTTTGTATGTGCATCTTGCAAGGCATTCAACTAAATAAGACCACTGAATAAACCAATATTTGCATAAGTTTGATGATTTCAAGATAGTCACTAGTATAACAGAAACATCTATTACCTGTGTGACACTGGAAGAACTGTTCGAGCTCCTGTATTTCTATCACCATTCTGATCAGCTGACAAAGGCTTGCAAAGAATCTAATGAGCCATCTGAAGTCTGAATGACAAAACATTTCTAATCAGGAGCATGGCAATAAATTAAAGAATATGACTTCTGTCTCAATTTCCTCATAACAGAACATGAAAATACTCTCAATGTGATACAAATGCACAAATTCACAGAGCAAATAAGCATCATGTCATATTGCAAGAACTTTTTTGATACCACGGGACATCACTGCCATGTTTCTAATTACATGATGATGTCAGTGATATGCTAAATCTGAAAAATCAGAAATAACCAGGTACGAATTCCAGTCTCAACGAAATTCTAACACTCTTCACCTTTCATTAAGATATCCTCATACAGTAATTTAATCTACAACAGAGCAAATAGAAGAGTCCTTTTTCTCTACGTACAATCTCCTTTATTTTCCATTACTTGTGTTAGTTATAATTCTTAAAACAGTACTTTCAAAAGTAGCTATTTTAAAGGAGCACATAAAACATCAAAACTGGAAGAAACAGGTAAGAAAGGAAAATATCAATTATAGGAAAATGTAGTCAAAGTACCCACTGAAAATAAATACAGACAAAAGATAAAATGTTTGTGGGTGCACGCATGTGCTCAATGTTTGACCCAAAACAATTTATATGTGGCTGAGATCAAAACAAAAGTGGAAAGGATAGAAATTTTTTAGATAGCTGTAATTAACCAATTTTGGACACTATTGGGACATACACTTTTGGTTCTCCAATAGGCACAATGTGAGACCTGAAATTTTAAAAACTACATACAAGAGGTGAGAAAAGAATACAAATTTCATAAGTTTTAAAACCTGAAGGTAGAGACAAGGGTCTTTGAAGACCTAGGCATGGATGGCAGTACATTAAAATAGCGCCTAAAGAAACAGGACATGGAGAGTGTGGACTGGATTCAGCTGGCTCAGGATTAGTAGCTTCTCAGGATGGACTTTGCTCCATGTAGGGCATCAGTTAAGATTTGGAAGATACAGGTTGTAAGGTGTATGGCAAGAATTCATTTTATTGGTGTTGGAAAAGAAACCATTCCTTATGGCCAGAAGTGCAATACTGATGCATGTGAAGGCACACTGAGGAGAATGATGGCTTTCCAACTGAAGTATTGATACTAGAAGGAAGGTACTGCAATAAATCTTAGCTCACTGGACAGGATCAAAGTATCATTTCTTATTGTTTCAGCAACGTTCAGTTTTATTACATTAACATATTCATTGCAACAGAAAGTGATTACTGCATCTGTGTTCATATTCTGCCAGCGCTAATGATGACCTTTATTTTCCACACAACTATTTTTATTACTGGCAAGCAGCACTCATAATTCAGACATATTTTCAAATGATAGTAAATATATCGGAACTGGAATATGCATTTGTGATTATCTTTGTCTGTATCCTGTTGTATATTACTATATAGTATTCTTGATTAATTTTTCTCAACAGACATACTCATTTATACTACTGAAACAAATAGATGTTTGGGTCTTGCATCTTAATCAACACACGCAAGCACTGCTGACTGGATCTCAAAGAAGCTTGAACCATCATTATGATTAAGAAGCAGATCATTTGAATGAAACAGGTTATCTTAAAAAATAAAACTAATTTCATGATATAAGAAACAATTGCAAATTTTGAATGTAATTAATCCACAGTTTGCATGATCATTGAAATATATCAGTTATTAATGTACATGTACTCTGGTAAACACTGAGATGAGATGGTATGATGAAAAACATTCATTGCATATGATGAAATGAGCACAGGCCACTCACATTATCAAATACTTAAAAATATATTTTCCATCATGTATGGGACCAACTGTTTAACATAAAACCCTCTTCACCAAATGCTCTGTATACAACACAAAATGACAGAATAAACTGTAAAATAACCTCTTCACTTGACTAATGTAAGGTACACAGCACTGACATATACAACTGCAACAGTTATACTGGTTTCTTGTGGTATTATCCGGAATGGATCAGCTCAATTTTCTTCTCCTGCAAAGTAAAACGAATTATTAATTTCTGAACAACAGATACACATGGCCACAGACAACTGTAAAAACCAACATTTTGTTGCTCTTATGAATATAATGGGGAGCACGTGGTAGTGTAGTTGGTTGAGGCACTATGCTACAAGCCAGAAGGTTGCGGGTTCAAGTCCCAACAAGGTCACTGTTTTTTTTTCAATTGACCTAATCCTTCCAGCCGCACTATGGCCCTGGGGTCGACTCAGCCTCTAACAGAAATAAGTACCAGGAATTAATTAAATAATTTTCCTGGGGAGTAAAGCATGGCTGGCGCGTAAGGCTGACAACCTTACCACCATCTGTGAGTCGACTGTCTAGATAATGTGGGACCCTCAACGTCTCACAACCATATGGGACTTCATGGCCTGTTACAGGGATAGCTTTACTTTACTTACTTTTTTATGAATATAACATTATGGCAGATAAACCTGACACCTCTGAACCTTGCAATTCTACAGTGATCTCTCTAATAATAAAATGGAAACAGCAATTTTATCAGACTTTGGAGCATTTTTCAGCAACTATTAACCTTCTGCCATCCAAAATCCACTGCAAAATACAGATGATGTGCTAGAATTCCATTTCTTGTCAAGTATCAAACTGTACTAAACACACAATACTTATTTATGAAATGTACACCCATGAATTGTGTCCAGACAGTAGTGACATAACTAACTGGCAAAATATGGATCAAAAGCTGAAAGTCTGTGCTCTCCAGTTGTGTTTGGTTAAACTACTTTGCTTCATTACTTTCTACATTTATGGCTGGACCTAACAGGTTGAAGGTGGACTGCAAATAGAATTATTAGTATATAGTGAATAAGATGACATAGTGACTCTTCGACGACCATGGGGTTCAGGAAGACGACAGTGATGTGCCAATGAAAGTGAATAAGACCAACACAAATACCAAGTGAAATATGGATCACTGGAAATGTGATTATGAAATAATGACAAAATTCAGGCCATAGCCAAATATTAGAAAAGTGTGTGCACACACTGGCAGCTGGCCATGTGCCCCACTTCTGTGCATTAGAGCTGGTACAATATGGAGTCAGGCCTTGTTACTAAACAGTGCAGAACAGTGCCTTATCACTAAATTGACAGTGGAGGAGACTGACACTAGCAGAAATTCTTTATATGTTAAACACATAGTATGGGGTAGAGACCCTGTCATGCGCAAGGGCCTATGTGTGGTGCAACAACTTTTCTGACGGCCCAAAAAAATTCAAGACGCAGCCAGCAGCTCCCAAGATCATGACAAGTGTGTTTTCCACATGGTGTAACAATTAATGTACAGTATTACACTAACTTGCAATGATGTACACCAATGCAGAACAAGTGACCTGGGAAACTCAAAGTTCGACATGCTACTGCATAAAAATACTTGTCCACACATGGCAGATTTGATGAACACAAGATAGGCAACAATGGGCTGGTAAATTATGAACCACCCTCCTTACAGCACTGACGTAGGCCCCAGTAATTTTAATTTCTTTAGACCAATGAAGGTGCATGTAGGACAGAAATTTCAAACTGATGAACAGCTCAAACATGATGCCCTGAACTGGCCACACATTCAGGATAAAGCTGTTTATTCTGCTGGCACCAGTAACTTGCCATGATGATACAAAAAATGTGATAGTGCAAAGGGAGAATATCTTGAAAAGGAGCATCTGGAGATTCTGGCATGTATATTCTTTATGTAAAAGAATAAAGTCCAGATAAACACTGAACCACCTATTCAGAAATATGTTATATATGACATTTACCAAGTTAGTTTCTGCCTTGATGTTACTAGCTTTTATTCAGCCCCAGCAGCCTTGCTCTTTCACCATTCCTATTGTTTACCTCAGTTTAAAAGTTTTCATAATTCCCATCTTGTCTCATTCACTGCCAACACTGTGAACTTCTTCCTCATCCTGCCAAGAGCCATTCAGAATACGTTCATTTCAAATGATCCTTAAAACGTGTAATTGTTGGGTCAGGCATTTGGTGAAATGATCTCCTAATGAATCAAGCATTCCTCATCTTCTCAACAATGGAAATATGGTCTCCTGTTCCAAAAAAACCTGTAGCCAGTTCCCCACACTTCAATTAATCATCCACCCTTAAGACTAACACCTCATTATTAGTCCCACAGACAGATGTGCCCTAGGCATAGTTCATAAATGAGCGAATTACCACCTTTGTTCCAAACTTAAACTGTGCTTTGGGCAACCTCATGGCTTCCTGGTCTTAAAATATTGTTACGTGTTGCGCTATGGAGGACACCCCCCTCACCCCACCAGCGGTGACATGGCATTTTTGGAGCGTTGCTGTTGCTACAGTAATAGGCAGGATTTAGGACACATTCGTCTATGGAGAAGGCAGCATTTTCATTGATTAACAGTATCTCGACAGCTATGAATAATAGCAAATTGTGGGAGGCATTTTTTGTGACCTACAAAAGGCTTTTGATTGTGTAAACCATGGAATTCTATTGGATAAACTTGAATTTTATGGAGTACATGGTATTTTTAAAACACTAATGGAATCTTATTTGACTGACAAACAGCAAAGAGTTGCTCTGGGCCTTACAACTGATAGTGATAATTCATCTAGATGGGAGAAAGTAAAACATGGAGTACCACAGGGCTCAATTCTTGGTCCTCTGCTTTTCTTGCTATACATAAACGATCTTCCCAAAACGATAAATACATATAATAGCATGGTATTATATGCAGATGATACTAGTATCGTAATAACAGAACAAAATAAATTAAGCTATAAAATAAATCTTAACCAAACTTTTAAAGATATAAACACCTGGTTTAAGGCTAATTTACTTAAACTAAATTTCAATAAAACTCAATATATGGAGTTTAGAACCACGAAACGCTACGCTACAGAGACCTACATCAGTTATGAACAGAAAAGTATTCCAAGTACAACAGTAACTAAGTTCCTTGGTTTAATTATTGATGATGCTTTATCTTGGCAACAGCATATAAATCTGATGATCAATAGACTAACTTCTACATGTTATGTGCCGCGCAACATTAAATATATAGTAACCTCTCCAACACTAAGGCTAATCTACTTTGCCTTTGTTCACTCTATCATGAGTTATGGCATAACTTTCTGGGGTAAATCCTCTCATGCCAAGAAAGTGTTTGTCTTACAAAAGAAAATCATTAGAATCATAACAAACACTAAACCTAGGGATTCTTGTAGGAATATCTTTAAGCAATTGGAAATAATGACATTATATTCACTATATATATATATATTCAGTACTTCTCTTCATAATAAAGAACAAACATATATTCGATTCCAACAATGAGATTCACGAATATGTAACCCGAACCCATGATGACTTACATGTTCCTGCTGTGAAAACAGCAAAATTTAATAATGGAACATACATAACATGCATCAAAGTGTACAATCACCTCCCTCAGTCAATAAAGACCTTAGCCAATAATGTTAAAAGTTTTAAATCTACACTGAAGAGGTTCTTATGTCCAACATTCTTTTTACTCAATGAATGAATATTATCAGTATACTGAAGACAAGAATGTATAGTCCATCTGCTATTTAAATGGTTAATTTAATTTCCATCCTGTATAAGAATTATTTTTAACAACTAATACTAAATACAAGGTATTAATAATACAGTAGTATTTTACGTTTGTATCTATGGAATTTTTATTATATACTAATTTTTCAATTTTATGAATTGCATATTTTAGACTGCTATCGAATTGTACATATTATGATTTAGTTTTTACAACATGATTGTGACAATGATAACTATTTACCTGCATCAGTTATTACAGTACATGTAGTAATCTGACATGTTCTACATCCTAGGCACATTGTGACCAGAGAGGATTCATGGAATTTTAAAATAAATGAATGAATGAATGAACACCCTGCCAGCAGTGAGATGCCGAGCGGAGCCGAAGTGAGCCGAGTCCAAGCACACTGATCGCTATGCAAAGCGAGTAAACAGTGGTTGCTAGAGACGACGGTAATAAACAGCGGTACCCATTACGTAACAGGCAACAAGTAAGCGAGGCGTTTTCCCGTTGTCCGGCTGAGGGTTTATAAGAGAACTACACTGCCTACAAAGCGAAGTTAAAGTGTAGCATCCGCCAAAGACAGTTGGAATCTGGTGAGCAGTTAGAAGTGAGTTGAAATGTAGCAGCCGCCAAAATGAGTTTTCAAGGCAGCAGCCATGGGGTGAGTTGCAGTTTAGCAACCGCAGGGAGTAGACCTGAACGTGTGATCAGGAGTGACACAGTTAAAATGTAACTGCTGCCAGAGACAGTTGAATTGGAACAGTCGCCGAGTTCAGTTGTAGCGGAAACAAGAATACTCGAACGTGTGATTAGAAGTGATAGCGTGAGAAGCAGATGCTTGGCTCACAAGAGAAGTAATTGGGAGTGTGTAATACAGTGACACTGGTATAGCTCCCGTATTGTACTGTGAATACATGTATACTGAGGACAGGGTGGACAGGTTATTGTGTAAACCCGTAACAGTGTTATAATTAATTGTAGCCAAGACTGGTAGGTTGTTAAATAAACCAATTAACAATCTGAACGGCGTCTTCAGTGCCTAAACACATTACAATATCCTTATGTCCCTCTCACTTTTCACTTACTACTCTCATAGTATGTAGGTCGTACCGAAAGTCATGAGCAATTTTTTTTTTGCATGCAACCTGGGAACAGCAGATGAAAGAGAGTATAGTGGTAGGTGGAACCAGCTGTTGTGTTNTGTCTTGTGATGTCAATAGCTTGCATCATGTGACCAGTATCACTTCTAGCAAAATGACTGACAACCATGTGTCATTTCACCAGTGTGCTATCATCGAATTTCTTGTGAAAGAGGAAATCCCTGCTGCAGAAATTCACCAGACTTCAGCGTGCTTATGGAAGTGTGTGCATGGGTGCGAGCAGTGTTCGAAGATGGGTGAAACATTTTTAAGATGGGAATACCAGCATTGAAGATGAGCCTCGGAGCGGTCGTCCTCGAACAGCCTCAACTGAACGCAACAAGGAAAGAGTGGATGAGATCATTCAAGATGACAGGCACGTGACTGTGGACACAATAGACTGAAAACTTGGAATAGGGCACAGTGCAGTACAGGAGATGATTGAAAGCTTGGGCTATAGGAAAGTTTGTGCTTGTTGGGTCCCGCGGATATTGACCGAAGACCACAAAGGTCAGTGAAAAGCCACCACATCAGAACTGCTGCAGAGATATCGACATGAAGGTGATGATTTTTTCCTCTGTATTGTGACAGGTGACGAAAGTTGGTTCCACCATTTCGAGCCTGAAACGAAACGGCACCATTTGCATTCTCCATCAAAAAAGAAGGCAAAGACAGTGCCATCAGCTGCGAAGGTGATGGGCACAGTCTACTGAGGGGTTTATTCTGGCCGAATTCCTGGAACCTGGGCAAACCATCAATGCTGCTCGTTATGTCCAGACGCTGCAAAAGCTCTGCTGTGCATTGCGCAATAAATGTCCGGGACGAAACATCATCATCCTGCATGACAACGCTCACCTCACATTGGAAGCAATTGCAAAGATGGGGTGGGAAGTTCTTCCACAGCCCTCCTACAGCCCTGATCTGGCACCTTCCGACTACCATCTTTTTGGATTTGTGAAGGATCAGCTGCATGGACAGCGTTTTGAGACAAGGGAGGCAATTCAGGAAGCAGTGTGTCAGTGTCTTCGGATGGCTGGAATGGAATTTTACAGAAGGGGAATTTTCAAACTCCCAGAACGCTGGGAGAAATGTGTACAAAGAAGTGGCGATTATGTGGAAAAATAAAGAAAGGTCTGTAGACTGAGGTGGTGTATTTGGTTTGTCAATAATAAAGCATGTTACTTTATAAAAAATTGTTGCTCATGAATTTTGGTATGACCCTCGTAAATAGTGCAAATTCTGGTATGAAAATTCTAAAAGCTTGAAAGGGATTCCATGCGGGCAACATGCTTCTGAGTATATTTCTGAAGCCATTATGGCCGCTTGAAACTGCTCCAATTTATTTGGGTACATGCTGTAAATCAACGTATCAATGTATCAATTCAGGTGATTTTAATGTTATTTAAATTATAGAGAGATTGTGAACAGTTTTCAGTTGCATTAAAAACAGGTGCATGAGTGAGTGAATGAATGCAACAGGATGCACAGATATAATATCATTCAGTCATTGGTCATGAAATTCAATATGTTAATAAATCTTTGAAAAATATGGAGTACTTGTTACAGACACTTTCACACAAGACCACGATAATTAAGTGTAACAGCATCACAGAATTTACTGCTGCAAAAGTGTACTTCAGAAAACATGGTATACTTACATGTTTCATAATGTATCAGTCTTCATCATGTGTGAGTTCTGCTAGGTTAACATGCTCCATGATTTCTGCCTGCTCTGCCAGATATTTCCCCTAGAACAAAGTACAAGTGGCAAAATAAAATTCAGTTCTTGATAGCCCATGCCCCAGACACCGACTATCACTGCACACTGAGGAAACAACTGGTTTTGTTGAAGAAAGCAGTCTGCTTTTACCGGTTCTCATGGTCTCTTCGCTTGCGGATTTCTTATATTTTTTCTTCTACCCTGAAGATGTAGGTGATACGTTCCTCCGAAACGTCGGTTAACACCACATATACACGGTGCCAAATCCCAGAAGACTGCTTTCTTCATAGTCACCGCCGTGAAAGCCTCAAATCTTACAACTGTTTTTGTTCATGCCAAAATTCATGGCGACAATCAATCGGGCAGTAATATAATTGTAATTGGATGTTACAGCACATTAGAAACTGGATGTGATAGACAAGAACCCAAAGTTGGGCTTTTTAATAAGGGAATTCTTGTATAGGCACAGAATTTCACTGATATGTTGCTCACATTCACTATTTCCAAAAAAACACACTGTATGCAAATCAAGAGGAGACCATTTGGAAGAGAATAAATTTTCTGAAAAGGTATGACTATTAATTGTTACAAACCCCTGAATCATATGATCCATCTGCTTATGCCAATACCATAAATTTACACAACCGTGAAAACATCATCAATCGGCACAGTTACACAGTAAAATTTATTTATACTAATAAAATAACAAGCCTTCATTACAATTATAATTACGTGAATTGGTATTCTGCTCAAGGGACTACTCTACTACAACTTGACATCCTTGTCCTTTAACAAGAACTCGAGTGTCTTGATTATGCAGTATGGACTGTAAACTGTCTTTTAAAACAGTACTCCCCTTCCTTTCCTGATTTACAAACTGTTAAACAGGGGTACGGTTTCTGGTAATCATACTGTATAGTACAAAAATAGTCTCTAATTCTATTACTAACAGCACACTTCAACACACATTTTTACAATGTAAACATTAACACCTTCATGCGGTATTAAAATCAAAAAAATATCAACACCATCTGGGGTCAGTAACACTGTTTCACCATGCCATTTCTGACAGGCAGAGTGACTGATCCCCACTCTGGGTCCGCTTTCTTGTCGTGCAGTCAGTGACACTATTACAAACACAAAAGGAAGTTAATTTATGACACTGTGAGCAAACTCTTCAGTGGCAGGGTGATAGATGAATGATGAGATGGTGGTACAGCCTAATTCGAGGCACTATACTGGCATTTCCATGGAAAGACTGTCTGTAGGCACAATAATGAAGTCAGAACATTACATCAGTATTCCAAATCTGTGTATGCTTAAAATCATGACCAGATATAAACATGCAAAGCTGTTCCTGCAACAGGACAAAAGACAATATAAACTGAAGCCACTGCACAGTTGGGTTGTTACCCTTCCTCATCCTTCTCATAACCCAGACCAGAATCCACGACAGGTTGTGTTATGAGGATAGAACTCTGAATCAAAGGGGGACAAGGTTTTTTCATTACATACATAAGCAAAATGACTTTCCATGTCATTTCCATAGCAACACTGCTTCCACAACAGATATGTGGAATATAAGAAAAAGTATATGAGTTAAAATGTATTACTAGTGCACTCGTAAGATGTAATGCATTGCCAGTATGTTAGTCTTCTGGAAATAGTAATGATATATATATATATATTTCCTTGGCACTACAGCCCCAGTGGGCCTAGGCCTACCTCCATGAACTTCTCCGTTCACTTCGGTTTTTCTAGATCTTACACATTTGGTAGGACTCTTTGGGTGGGTGATCAGCTCGTCGCAAGGCCTCTACCTGTACACAAACACAGAAAAACACACACACACAAACTAAACATCCATGCCCTGAGTGGGATTCAAACCCACGATCCCGGTTTCCAAGCGAGCGGAGACAGTACACGCCTTAGACTGCTCGGCTACTGTGACTGGCTGTAATGATATATATAGCAACACATAATTATATACATTTTTTACTTTTATGCGAATATCTGTGAATCCATGCATGAACACGGTAGAAATTAATTTTGTCCATCATAGCATTATATGAATTCCAAACTGAACATTCCACCACTGGGGGGGGGGGCAGAAATGGGAATGTCTACTTCACTTATTTATGGTGTGTTTAGCGATGTCAGCAGCTCAGAATACAGACCATCCAGTGGGAGGATGATTAATGAATAATGTATTGGATAGGATGTCAAAGGAAGCAGTTCCATGGCCTAATCTGAAGTACTATCACAGCATCTGCCTAGAAGGGTCAAGGAAACCCATGAAAGACATCAACCAGGATAGCCAGTCTCTAGGATGAGATAGGATGGGCAGCATTCCTAGCAGTATTCGGTGGGAATGTAGGAAGCCCTTAAGTCTGGTTTTTAAAATATAGAGGTAAATTCTGTGGCTTCCACAGACCAAGTTTATACTGTGTATTAATCAATTACTCTGTTCTGCAAATGTTGCTCATGAACAGACCTCTTGGAAGGTATGCTGGAACTCTGCAGCAGCTTCCTCAGAAGAAAACTTCGCCATGAATTTCTTGTGAACGGCAGGATCTTCACTGTAGTCCATACCAGACCATATGCAGTCACGCTTCTTCACCTGAAAGTACATGAGCATGTCAGTTAACAAACTTTCAACGTATTCACACTTTGAGATATAAAAGCAATAAATTAGAAAATATTTTATTAATTCTGATGATACAAGATGCAGGATCTCATGCAATGCCAAAGCATTATTCAAGAATAATATGGCGTACAGCCTGAGAAGACTTCAGTTAACACATAGTGAAACCTCAAGATTAGGAGGATTTATAAAATTTGTAAAATTGCTTGTTCTAATGGATATTCATAAAACTTGAAAATGACTTAAATATATATCACAACTTCCAATTACTTATAAGAGAGAACAATATGGCACTAAGGTCTGACTGATAATGTGGATACAGCAATATTTCTTCTTCCCGATGACACTCAAGAACTGCCTCTGTGGTCTAGTGGTCAGAGTTCTTGGCTACAAATCCAGAGGTCTGGGTTCGATTCCCGGTGTTACCAGATTTACTGAGAAGTAGTGGGTCTGGAACTGGGTTCACTCAGCCTCGTGAGGATAATTGAGGAACTATTTCAAGGAAATAGCAGTTGCAGTCTAGAAAACCGAAATTAACAGATGGGGGTATCTGTTGTGCTGACCACACGACACCCTCTATTCACTCTAGTTGACACTAACTTCACCAACAGGTGGCTGTCGCTTGGTCAATATAGTTTGCTTGCACACTGAAATCATGGAGATTTTGTTGTTATTTTTGTTTGATGACACTCAACATCAGATTTTATTAACAGATAAAATAGAAAGGATGGAAGTTCAGGGTACTTTGAATGACAGCTGCTCTTGCCTTTCTCCCCTGTTAAACCTGGACTGTTCCCTTGTGAGGTTTAGACTTGTAAAATCACCATATCTTTTCCAATACTAACAATCTCCCTCTTCTACTTGTATATATGATGTTATAACTTAATATTCCTTACCTCAAGGACAGTATTGAGAGCTATAATGGTATTACAAAGCTGTTCACCAGTTCCGTCCCGTTCCACACATATCCGAGCACCAAAGATGTCAGGATCATACAGAATTTGGAGATCACCCAATCCTTGTGTTGACCAGGCAGCAGTTAGAGGATCCTGGACCTGAAGCGTAACTCTCTTTTCAAACATCAATGATTTCTCAGTTTCCTCTTCATCTTCTTCTTCCTCATCATCATCATCATCATCTTCAGCATCTTCATCATCCAAATTGTCTTCAGAATCTTCTGATTCTGCCTGACTAATACGGATTACTTCGGGATTTGCTGGTTCTATAGAAAATAAAACATGTGTAGTTTATTTTCATTCCCTCCCTGCACTTCATGTCTATTTATAATCTACTCCCTATTTTAACAACTCACCCACCAAACGTATCATGCTGTATTAGTTTAATATATCTTATATAAATATCAACAGGAATACACTGAACTGTACGCGGTCTTGGTTCATACATAGTTAACTGTATGAATGCATTATTTCATTGGAAACTGTGATGTTCCAGGACTCCAGAAGCCATTTTGTTAATCACTTCCTCCTATCCTATTCGTAACAGGCAACATTCAGACAAAAGCTGATACACAGCATAACAATGCACGTAACAATTCAACCACTGTAAAACATTACACGATTAGACATAGTTTGAATAAAAGTGATCACATGTTAACAACTGATGGCAGAAGCACTAGCATGAGATGGAATAATGTGTCAAAAAGTATCACGTGGTGCTGATATGATTCGTACTTTAAGACTACGGTGATTAAATATGCAGAAAAACAATTAAGTGTGAAGTGGCAGAAAAATACAGTCTCTCCCACGCCAAACATAAGAAGGTGGAACAGCAAAACCAGAACTTATGCCTATCCCATGCAAAAATTGTCATATGTATGAATTCATAGACAGAATGGGATGCAAGTCTTGTGCAACTTCATTAAATGTATGATTCGAGGTTCCCACAACAATTGTTATGAAGAGTCCTATCTTCTGGGTTATAATGTGTAATCCACCGAAGGTCAACCAACATTTCAGAGGAACACATCACTCCTATTTTAGGGTTGAATAATAAGCCAAGCAAGAAGCAGATAGCAAGCACAGCTCTGCTCAATGCATGCTTTATTCCTTGCACAATCAGCCATGCATTGTTATCTAAGTGCTCTCTCCTTAGGGCCAATGATCCTCTATGGGGTGTGCCTTCACCAGCATCCTTCTGCCACTGGCAGCCTCCAGCTAGCCTAACAGGTACTTTCCTTCATGGCCAAACTGACTTTCTTGCCCTATAGACTTGTACTCCTGCTCAGTGGGTGATCCTAGAACCTAGCTCTGTGAGGCTCTCCACTGCCTCCATGGGACCACAACTCTCCCACACTGAATCAATCTCACCGTGCTGTTGCTTACTTGCAGATGGTGACCCTAATCCATGAATGCATCATGGGTGTGCAAGACATCTGTCCCTAGGGTGAACTTATCTGTGAGATTGGCGAAGTGATCAGTGGGCACCATGCTTCAGTCATGATGGGGAGGGCCTCCCTTGATGCCATCTGCAGGCCATGCAGCCTGGTGATCATCAACAGTCCAGTTTCAACTGTGACAGCACATAATTTGTCCCCTATCCACCATTTGGTGTTTAGGCTGTTTTCATCCTTCCCTGTTGACATGTTGGGTGCGTAATGAAGAGGCAGGAGTGATTGTACCAGTGCCACTTTCCAGGAGGTCCTTTGGGGGCATTCCCCATCAGCAGTCTCTCCTAAGATAACTGACATCCCCACAATGCAAGTACATACATCACCTATTCCTGCTGCACTTGGTTTCTGGCAATCATGGTCCCAAGAATGTTCCAGCTCTTACAGTGCAGATCCTTGCTGGCAGACACAGCTGCATTTCAGGTCCTACCTCATCTCTTGTATCTCACTGCTGAGCTCCTCACACAGGCTACGTATCCTATAGTCAACAGATAACAGGATGTTGTTCACCTGCCTGCTGTCTGGCAGTTGTTGGGGACCTCAACTCTCTTTGGCCAGCCTTTGTCCTGTCTTGGATCATTCCCACACTACATTTTACCAGGTCACTTTACGCACACTGCAGCCTCTCCATAATCTCTGCCACTTCAGTCATTCCTAGTCCAGGATCTATAATCCACAATCCAGCAATATAATCCAGCACATCTGACACCAGTTTTCACATGTCAGTGACTAGACAGTGGGTTTGGATTGATAAATAAATTTACTGGACACTTACTACCCTTAAACAGAGATAACTATAACACTTGTTTTCTTGTTCATGATCTACAAGTAACTACTGCACTTTTTTTTTTACTCTGCTATATCTTCTCATATTTGTTGCTTGGGTGCAGTCTCCAACATCTGGGACTGTTTCTGAAGTTCCATGCTCAACAGCTCTGGTCTTGGATCCTGCTGGCTCTCTGTATATGAAAACACTGCCTCCAACAGTTCCTCTACTGTTTTGTGCATATTCACTGCTACAGAAATGTGCCTTAACATACCAATGAATAGATGTGGATGCCTTTGCTATGCTTCTTTGATCCCAGTATTTTGGCTTTTAAGCATCACATCACAATATTAGAACATACAGTGTCACATAATGCTGTGCTAATTTTAGGATATTGTGACATGTTGCGCAACGGAGAACCCCCCCACCAGCAGTGACACGGCGGGTGAGTCAGCGCTCCCCCCCCCCTCCGCATGGTAACGTAACGCGCGGTGACGCAACAGGACATGGTACCGGTTCCTGCTGTGACGTGGCACAGATTCCTACTGTGACGCAACACGCAACGACACTGTTGACGCAGGCAACAGGTAACAGCGAACGGAATATAAGCTGGCTGAGCAGTAAGCATGAGTTAGTTGTAATGTGGCCATCGCCGAGTTCAGTTCCGAGTTAGTTCCGAGCAAGCCTACGAGCCAGTGTGTGATCAACAGTTCTCAAGGCAGCAGNTCGCGATAAGAAGACCCGAACGCGTGGTTACAAGATTTTATGTGACAGTGTGCGATAACTAAGAAGTCAGCGAGCGGAAGACTTATTGTGTGCTTTCAAGACTTAGTGAGTGCTGTAGTACAGTTATATTTGGAGTGTGTAATTCAGGGAGACTTGTATAGCTCCCGCGTTATTAGTACGTGAAGACTTTGGTTGTAGGGTTTGTAAAGTGTGGAAACCCATAACATTGTTATCGTTAATTGTAGCCGTTGCTTGTAGATTGTTGAATAAACCAATTAACAATCCGAACAGCGTCTTCAGTAACGAAACAATATAATTTTAGCTGGGTGCTTTCAAAGAACTGTCCAAATGTGACTCCAGTCACTCAATCTGTTCTTACATTTCAAGTGCTTCATGGTGGGGGGGATTGACACGTATGCTGCTGTACTGTATAAACTGATTCACAGCACATTGTCATTGTAGTGAGCAGGCATCTTTGTTGGCCACATACCAGAATCTGTCATTACTGCAGTGCAATTTTATAACTGTATAATTCTGCAAATTTATGACTTTAATTTCCACCACACTGCAGTTCCCTCAATTTGGAAGTACAGTATGACCTCACTAATTGTGACTAATTGGGAGCTATTCTTATCCAAATCAGTGAAAATCTGAATTATGTTAAGTGCAACAGAAAATATGTTCAGGAAAGTTATGAAATTAATTTAGCTGATCTCTGATGTAAAGTGTATGATGTTGTTGTCATTTGATTTAACCCAAACTGAATGGGTCATGGAATTTTAGTGAAACTCTGGAATATCAAATTTAATGAAAATCTGTCTAATAGATTTGGAGCTAATGAACACATTTTAGAAACTGTTCGCTGTTATCATGTCAAAAGAATAAACACTGCCATACATTAACCTTTTTTAAACATTAGTTTCATACTGTGATGTGTGTAATAGAAGTTAAGAGATTTCAAGAGTATGTAGCCCAACTATCTTCAGATATCAGAACCAGCATTCTCTTCACAAATATTACAAACTGTCATTATATGAGGTTGCACTGTACACTACTGCAAAACTGGGTAAGGAGGGGACAAAAAGTACACCAGATGAACTAAGAGAACATTTGTCCCTCACAAATAATACTTCAACAATGAGATGAATCTATCACAAGTAAAGAGTCCTGAGGGTTTTGTTATGGCAATGTTAACAGGCAACTTTCTTAGTGAACCAGGAAGCATTGGGTATAAATTTGTTTAAATAACAATACATCCCTCCCATTGTCATACATGAATGAAGAGGAAATTAAATAAAAAATAATATAAGTATAAATATAAGTTCCAATAAACAGATCAGTGTAGGATATTGGACAATTCCCCACAGTATTTGTCCACTAACCTTCTTTTGTGTCTGCAGTTGTCACCAGTTTTGCTACCTGCTCAATGCACTCATTCAGCTTGTCTCTAAACTCTTTGGCAGTTTCTTGCAACTTGAACAGAACAGCCAGTTCTTCAACTTTTGGTTCATCCTCCTCTGCATAATTCAGTGCACCCCAGCACCAAGCTCTATTAGATGAACTCAAAGGCTTCAAGGTAAGGTCATTAGTAACCAGATGATTACACACAACCTTATGTACCTGCACAAAGAACATGCACACAACTACACTTTGAAGAGTTTTCTAGCCAGAATCTGCAATAGAATGCTGTGCAGTCCGCTGAAAGTCAACCAGCTTTCGGAGTAACATATGGCCTCCATCTTCAGGGTGGAAGAATTAGGTGAGCAAGAAATCAGACTGAAGTGGTGAGTAAACTATATTTTGATTGTAAGAAGATGAGCAGGAAGGCATGCCTGCAGGTAATGTTCATTTATTCTGTCCAATAATGATTCACTGTTCCTCAAGATTCAGAGTTCTTAATCATTAACTGCACAAACTAAAGGAACTATGTAGGTAATACATTTCATATTAAGTGTACAATGACTAGTACTGAAATCTGTATATGTGAATGAACACACTTTGTTAAAATTGGTGCCAAAAAAGCAAAACATAGCATACACAATTCAACTAGTTTCAGGAATATATATTTACAGTTGAAATAGTGGTACAGAAGAGAATCAGGTTATTGATAGTGACCTTGAAGTGTCTGGCCACTAAGCCTGAAAAAATGTACCCATGCCATGAAACAAAAATTACATTACGTCCCACATTAAAGGCAGTACAGTCACTGAACAAATGTTTATAGAGAAGTCAATATCTGGACAATAGTGGCCATTTTCTGAAAAAGGTTTATTAGGTTGAAGATATGTTTATAACATGATGTGCTTATAAGCATTCCACAAATTTTGTTATAATTTTGGATCCTGTAAATATTTTGCAACACATTCTGGTATTCACACATTCAATTACTGTGTTTCTGGATATTATCCATCATCCTGTTTTTATTTAAAACACACATTTCACAGACTGGATTCTGCCTCCATCTTCAGGTGGAATCTCTTCAGTTTGGCTAAATTGCTAGGGCTAGTCCCTATCTCTGGACACCTGCACCAAAACAAGATGGGACATACAAACCAACCACCGGGTTAAGATAAACATTAAAAATCTCCATACACATGAGGCCTATCACCTATGTCCATGCACTATTTCTTGGCTATTGTTAAAATCCAGAGTATTATCAGAATAGAAGTCATTACTAAAGAAACATTCTCTGTATTGTACCAACATAAAAACACAGATTTACACACAATCTACAATGGACAGAGCTGTAGTTTTCTGATGTCTGCTGCGATAATGAGAATCCACATAGGAGATATGTCCAAGCTGGTTTGACTTACTGGATGATCTACAAAACATGTGGGGGAATTCCTTTATTTCATGTATGTGGTGTTTGGTTCACTATGCAAGACCTTTGTTTCTTTCCAACACATATTGTGGCCAACTGAGTAGGTTCCACTGGAAGACTGAGACAGAATCAAGCCTCAAAAAAGAAGAAGAAGAAAAAAAAAATATATATTTTAAATAAAATCAGGATGATGGGATCATGTCCAGAAACACAATAACTGTATTAATATACTATTGCCACAAACTTTCAGATCTTATTTATACTTTGATACTCCTAAATATTAACTTTGTTTTGTTAATCAATTAACCAAAGTATGATTCTGTGCTTTATCTCGCTGCCCAAATTAAGTTTATAGGTACAATTTTGAAGTGAAGTTTTAAATACCAATTTAACATTTCATATTGTGGTACACAAAATTCTCCATTATGGCCCAAACTTAAATTTTGTGAATGATAACACTATATTTAATGAAAATATGCTAAGCTAGAACAGTTTTCTCTTCGAGAAACACTGTGCCATAAACAAAAACGGAGCTTGTCCATGATTTATTCTGACCGTCTNTAGCGTCCTGTTGCACTGATTTATGTCCATGATTTATTCTGACCGTCTTACAGTGCATACATTTATTCACCTTACTCTTCTCTCTTGCACTACATGTTTCGGCACTAAAGTGCCATCTTCAGGTGCTTTTCGATGTACGTCGAACTACTGCATTGCATGCCCTGTTGTCTTCATATTTAAATAACTAAAATATATATTCGTCATATATATTTCTAAATTTTAAATATTAAAAATGTTAAAACTGTTCAGGATTTGTCATCCTTATGTCGTAT